GAAGAGGACAGAAAACCAAATGTTAAAAATCCTAATTTCAAAAAGACAGATTCCACACATCAGCCTGGCCAGTGAGATGCAGATTCCTGAAAACATTCTACAAGAGATGATCAGACAAATGGCTTGTGAGCCTGTGGAAAAGAACACAGCAATCACTGGAAGATAGCATGAGTTTGCAAATAACACACTGTGCTATACTAATATTTTTTCTGACAGAATCATTGGATTCATCACCAAAATACTGTGAAAATAGTATAGCTTGATTTTAGCACCAACACGTGATGTGGGAAGGAAGAATGTGGATTAAGTGAGAATATAAGCCATGTATCTCGACCTGATTTCTAATGGAGTGCTGACTCCATGCTGTGCATTGTGTTTAGCCAAGACTAAAGATATAGAAAACATGTCTGAGGATGACACAAAGCTGGGAGAATATCCAGCATGACATGTGAACTATGTCAATAGTCCAGAATCATGAGCTGAGTCCAACAGGAATAAAATTAAGTTCTTCAGTTGGGGTCTCTGCTGGCCAGAGAGTGGTTATATGGAGTAAGCCTTGGATTTTAGTTACCTGCAGGCTTGGTAAGAGCCACAGGTATGGTATAGCTACTGAAAGAAAGCACTTTGGTCACATTAAGCTGCATTATCACAGCAATATGCCTGGTGTCCCAGATGTGTGCCACTGTAAGGTTCTGTGCCTAGCACTTTGTATACAACTCTTTTTAACCCTTACAGCCATGCCCCAAGATTGTACAGATAGTGGAGGGAAATTCAGAGAGCTGAATGAACAAATAAACTGTGCCAAGTGGATACAGCAAGTCAACAGCACAGCCAGGATTCAACCCTAAGTCTGTGCAGCCCCTTAGCCTGTTGAGACCACTACACCACTGTCCAGGGTCCTTGTTCAGATTGCATCAGCAGAGCTGGGTTCAGTTCCCAAGGCCACTCTGAAGGCTTGGGAGAAAATGCTGAAGAACTAGAACAAATCAGCCTGGAGAACATGAGGAGGGAGATGTGAAGTCCAAATGCATTATCATGACTTACCAGATCTCTGTGAGTCTTGTCCCTGCTCACCTCTCAATCTTGTTTCCCAACATGACCCTGCATGTGACCCCCCATCTTCCTGAATCCAGTCTTACTAACCTGCTGGCAGTTGTCTTAACCACCCCTCTCTCACACCTTGAGGAACTGAACCTGTTGTTTTACCTTCCTTGTGGCTCACCACTTTCACCTGGTCAACTCCACCTCATCCTATGGCTCTCCACTCCCTCTGAGAGGCCACCTCCTCACACCCATGCCTGGTCCAGGTCCATCTCCCTACTGCAGAGGGGCTGTCAGCTAAAGCTCCTTCAACAGACACAATACATTTTCTGCTTGATGACAGAGCCTCTGATGCATCAACCCTCAGGAAAGACTAAAAAACAAGAAAAGCTCTTTTTAAGGGTCCCTACAAATAAATATGAAATATATTATAAAAAAATTAATTTGAAAAATCTAAAATACCATCACAAATGGTTACTTTCATAATGGAAACTGAAGGTTTTGTTTTCTAGAACTTCTAAAAATTAGTGTACTAGTGTCTGTGCCCCAGGAGAGAACAAAAACCTTAGCAGTGACTATGGGAGGCAGGCTCCCCTCAAAACAGGTACCAGTTTCTTCTCTAATATGATCACTGTGAGGCTCTCTACCTTTGATATTATCCCATATCTTCTGAGATGAGGTTTCTTAACTCTAATTTCAAAAGACCCAAATCAGCAAAGAATTGCAAATTAATAATTCTGAAAGTGCCTGGCTGAAAAAGGGCAGGGAATCCGACAGATCTGTTTGGCAGAAAAGATCACCACTCTGGATCACCACTCTGGAATTACTAACTGACACAATATTGGAGGAGATTGTGAGTTGGTGGAACTATGTGTTCCTTATGATCAAATCAATGAAATCCCACATTCTCTATCTGCCAGGTGGCACTCATCCAGTTAGGAGGCAGCTTGATTGAGAAAATGCCTCCCTGAGGACCACCAACTGTGTGGCGATACTACAGAATGTCCAGCCCCAGAAGGTGTCTTTATTTGGTCTAGTTTTGTGTCACCAGAAGAACTTGGTCTCCTATAAAGTAAACCATGAAAGGCAAGATTAACGTAGCCTAGTTCCCAGTATTATCAGGCAGCGCTCTGTTTAAAATACTAGGCTGCAGTCTGCCAAGACTCCTCAGAAAAGCCATATATGGTATGATTCTCCTCTCCCATACTCATTCACATAATGTTTTAATGGACAATAAACAGCTGGCTTTACAAACATGTAGAAGGTAGCTGGAGATGTTAGGAGGGTGTAAAGACTGAGAGTTTTATACTCTGCAAGTAGAACTACATGCAAAATCCAATTTGGCCATTAGTCCCACAGTAAGAGAAATGACCTTTAGAAAGAGTGAAAGGGGGTGGGGAAAGCAGAAATTAGTGTGTTTTTGATGCAGCTGTGGATGTCATGGGCTTTCTTCTTGAGTTTCATTTTTATTACCTTGCCCAGTGGTTACATTTGACATTCCTGAGGCACACTGCTTTTTCTCTGTTCCTATGTGTTGAAAGTGACCTTAGGATCATAGAAAACCTTCCTTCAATACAATGCTACAAAAGTAGCAAACATTTTCCAACATTTACCATGTTCCCTGCATGTGAGGAGGGAAATATAATTAATTAAATAAAAATCTCCCCACACATAAGGCTCAGAACTTCTGCTCAAACAGTAATAGCCCCCAACATTGCCATCTGCTTTTGAATGGTGTTGTTAGAAAGCTTTACCTTCTATCAAGCCAGCATCTTTGTTTTTTGGTTGCGGGAGGGAATTGACTTTATTATCAGTGATTATCAGTTTTCAACCAGCAGCAGCTATCCATCTGGAGTTTTGAGGGTGGACTTGTCCCCTCCTCAATGCTGTCTTCTTGAAGGGTACACACTGTCTTGTCCTTCCTGTTGACTGTCTGATCCTTAGCTGAGAGGGGAAGAGGGCTATAGGACCTAAATATGGTGGAGGAGCAGCCAGTCAGCAGGAATGGGAATTTAGCCATAATTCAGCAAAGAAGAAAGACCATCATTCTATTTTCTTCTTGTACCAGTGAGAGCTTTACCAAGGTACTAGTGCCTTGACTCCTGCCTGGGGAACTCCAAGGGCACCCAAGGTTCCAGGTCAGTGATAGACATGGCCAACAACACAGTAAGGGAAGCTGGGAAGACAACTCAGGAGGTGGGCCAGCTCCAAAGGGAAGAGGACACTGTCTACATGGATTGGATGGTGCCCCCAATGCTAGGTGCTCCTAAGCCCTGGAACCTGTGAGTGTGGTGCTATTTGAAAAAAGGGTCTTTGCAGATGTAATCAGGTTAAGAATTTCAAGATGAGATCATTCTGTATTTAGGGTGGGTCCTGTATCCAATGACAGGTGTCATAAAGAAAAAACAGAGGGAGATTTGAGGCACAGACACAGGGGACGCCATGTAAAGATGGAGGCAGAGACTGGAGTGGCCACAAACCAAGGAAAGCCAGGAGCCACCAGAAGCTGAGAGAAACAAGGGAAAAAAATCCTCCCCAGAGCCTTGGTAGAAAGCTCTTGGGAACACAGCTCTGTAACACCTTGATTTTTGGATTTCTGGTCAAGCCAGCATTTATATTAATGCAACTCAGACCCACTGCTCCTAGTTTTGACCCTGATCCAGTGTCCTGTCCATGTCTTCCAAATATTCAGAGTTTGTTTTTTTTCCCCTTAAGCTCTTTTTCCTTTATGATTTTTGGACCCTTCCACAAGTTGATCAGACTGGCATTGCTCACACTCCAATTTGTCTAAGACCCTTTGAAATGTCATCCAGGAACTAGATTGTGGGTTATGAGGGACTTTATCATATTACCACCATCCAAACGTCAAGCACATTAGCTCTTCTCTCTGTGCTATCTTCATTACCCATTTCCACAAGGACAGGCTGCAGCTGTTCAATAACTGGTGCTGATAAAATGTTGTGGCAGGGAAATGTATGACAAATCTGTTCAGCAAGTCTGCAACCTTACAACTAGCTTATAAAACTGTAGGTTCAAGTAACTTTAAAGTAAATTTGAATTCACTCTGTAAAAGCCTACTTAGATTACTCAAACAGAAGAGCTTCTTGTACTTTGCAGTCCACAGAGCTGGGGGAGCTGACCAGGAGTTTGCATCCTGGATGTAATGATTTCAAATCCAGATTTAAACTATCATGCATTATACTGGCCATCTGTATCAGTTCAGCATATAGCAATCTGGCAACCCCCTTTTCAACTCCATATTCCAACTACTTAATTGTACACTGAAGATATGATCTGAGCTTTTTATTTTTTCCCACATTTTCTATGTTTTTATTTGAAGTAGACAATTGGGTCAGACTAGAGGGACTCAGGGTTATTATAAAGGTCACAGATAGTTTTAGCATTATAAAAAATGCCAAGTAAGGATGTCTCTTCTATTGGTAAGCAAGGAATATTTCAAGAGAGGATAACTCTGCTTAATATAATCACTTAATATATAATAAATGTTATATAAAAATACTATTAACCTCATACAATGTTTAAAAATGATAACTATAGCTATGCCACTAGAAGATTAAATGAACTGAGAAATTCTTTGGCAGAGTGTGGTTCTTTCATCATATTACTGAAGCTATACCGGCCTGGATATATGGACAACCATGCAATTCCAGTTAAAGGGGCATCTGTATGGCCTAACATGCTTACCCCTACCTCTCAAAGGTGGATAAACCAGATATGGCAGCCATACTGGTCTCAGTCATCTGGCCAATTTCAGTCATCTGAAACTGGATTTCTTTCCCACCCACACTCCCCTTTCCTGCCATCTCATGTCCGAGTAAAATGGAATCAACTACAAATTATCATACAGTCTCTCACTTGGGAATCAGAGGCCTATGTGGGCCACTAAGGGAATCCCTCTCATAAGAGGATTATTTGAAAAAAACAAAACCAAAACCTGATGAGGTTTGTAGTTTTATTATTTCTTTTTAGAAAAAAGAGAAAATTTGTAAGATGTAAAGGTCACACAATACATTATCACTGATAACTATTCTCTTTACATGGTCACTGGCTTGGCCAATGTTGGGATGAACATGGAGATCATGAATGCATTTGATACCCATCCATAATGGATACACAGAAATAAACCACAGTGTGAAAAGAGAACTTGATGACAAATGATATTGGGCCAGCCTGTTCCAAAGTAAGCAAAGACAGTATAGGGCCCAACAAAGCCTTCTTGTAGGTGAGGCACAGGTGTATGCCCTGCTGCCATGAGCACAGAGTGCATCCCCTGCATTGGCAGTGCCCACTTCCTCTGAGACCACAGCAACAACAGAAAATGGTAACATTCCTTTGGTGCTTTTTTGCAGGGCTCTTCAGGTTCCTGATTTCTTATTTCTGTCTTCCTTTTCACATTTCAGTTCCAGATTCTTGAAGCAGTATAAGTGTTTAGCATCTTTCATGAATTTTTCAGAATCTAGTTTCATCCAGTAATAATGCACTAAAAAGAACAGAAACAAGACATAACTCAGAAGGGTTCCAATATTTGCTTTCAAATATGATTTAAAAATATTCCTAAGCATAATAAAATAGCTGAGGAGGATGTTTTTGAAGTTCATACAATGAAAATAACATGACAATGTTTCACTTTACTGTGAAAAATATGCAATGTTGTCATGTATAAATTCGAATGCCTTTTCACCAAAAAGTTTCCAATATATTAGAACTTCATAGTTCTAATTCAAAAAGATAGCTAAATCAAATATCTGGGAATTAAACAACACACTTCTAAATGGCTTCTATGGCAAAAAGAAGTCATAAGGCAAATTAGAAAACATTTTAAAGTGAATAAAAATAAAAATGAAATACAGCAAAACTGAGATACTCACCTAAGGCAGTGTTTAGAGGGAAATTCATTGCATTAAGTGCTTATATTTGAAAAGAACAGGGACTTCTGGCCAAGATGGAGGCACAGTAGACACACTCAGCCTCCTCGCAGAAACAAAAGAACAACAAATTTAAAAACAAAAAATAACCAGAACTGCCAGAAAATCAAACCGTATGGAAGTCTGACAACCAAGGAGTTAGTGAAGAAATATTCATCCAGACCAGAAGGAGGGGCAGAGATAGGCAGCAGGACGATAAAGGACTCATGGCAAGGCAGCGGCCGGAGGACTGGGGCAGGCAAGGTGGTGGCTGGCAGAGTGGGTGGTCCCACATTTGTGTGCGGATAAACAAGGAGGAACAACTGGGGAGCAAGACAGACTGTGCAAACCAGGGTTCCAGCAAGGGGAAATAAAGCCACAAAACCTCTGACTGAAAAAACCCGTGGGTGTTGAGGAAGTGGGAGAAACTCCCAGCCTCACAGGAGAGTTCACTGGAGAGATCCACAGGGCCCTAGAATGTACACAAAATCACCAACCTGCAAATCAGCACCAGAAGGGTCCAATTTGCTTGTGGGTAACAGAGGAAGTGACAGAAAGCCAGCCTAGAGCTGAGCAATCAGCATTGTCCCTCTCAGATCCCTCCCCCACATATAGTGCCACAACTTATTGATGTGGGTTGCCATGACCTGGAAAATATGTAAGGCTCTGCCCTTTACTACATAAAAGGTATGCCAAGACAAAGATATGTGGCCCAAATGAAAGAACAAATCAAAGCTCCAGAAAAAAACACATCTAAGTGATGAAGAGATAGCCAACCTATCAGATGCACAGTTCAAAACACTGGTAATCAGGATGCTCACAGAAATGGTTGAAAATGGTCACAAAATAGAGGAAAAAGTGAAGGTTATGAAAAGTGAAATAAAAGAAAATGTACAGGGAACCAACAGTGAAGGGAAGGAAACTGAGACTTAAATTAACAGTTTGGACCAGAAGGAAGAAATTAACATTTATAGCCCCGGCTGGCGTAGCTCAGTGGATTGAGTGCGGGCTGTGAACCAAAGCATCGCAGGTTCGATTCCCAGTCAGGGCACATGCCTGGGTTGCAGGCCATGGCCCCCAGCAACCACACATTGATGTTTTTCTCTCTCTTTCTCCCTCCTTTCCCTCTTTAAAAATAAATAAACAAAATCTTTAAAAAAAAAAGGAAATTAACATTTACCAGAACAAAAAAAAAAAAAAACAAAAACATTTACCAGAACAGAATGAAGAAGCAAGAATCCAAAAAAATGAGGAGAGGCTTAGGAACCTCCAGGACATCTTTAAATGTTCCAACAACTGAATCAGAGGGGTACCAGAAGGAGAAGAGGAAGAGCAAGAAATTGAAAACTTATTTGAAAACATAATTAAGGAGAACTTCCCCAAACTGGCAAAGGAAATAAGACTTCCAGGAAGTCCAGGAAGCTCAGGGAGTCCCAAAGAAATTGTACCTAAGGAAACACATACCAAGGTACATCATAATTTCATTACCCAAGATTAAAGATAAGGAGAGAATCTTAAAAGCCGCAAGAGAAAAGGAGACAATTACCTACAAAGGAGTTCCCACAAGGCTATCAGCTGACTTCTGCAAAGAAAACCTGCAGGGAAGAAGGGGCTGGAAAGAAGTACTCAAAGTCATGAAAGGCAAGGACCTACATCCAAGATTACTCTATACAGCTAAGCTTTCATTTAAAATAGAAGGGAAAATAAAGTGCTTCCCAGATAAGGTCAAGTTAAAGGAGTTCATCATCACTAAGCCCTTATAATATGAAATGTTAAAGGGACTTATCTAAGAAAAAGAAAATCAAAAATACAAACATTAAAATGACAACAAACTCACAACTATCAACAACTGAACCTAAAAAAAAAAAAAATGAACTAAGCAAACAACTAGAACAGGAACAGATTCACAGAAATAGAGATCACATAGAGGGTTATTAGCAGGGAGTGGGAGGGAGGAGGATGGGGAAAAAGTACCAGGAATAAGAAGCATAAATTGTAGGTACAAAACAGACAGGGGGAGGTTAAGAATTGTATGGAAAATGGGGAAGCCAAAGAACTTATATGACCCATAGACATGAACTAGGGTGAGGGAATGATGGTGGGAGGGGGAGTACAGGGCAGAAGGGAATAAAGGTGAGGAAAAAATGGTACAACTGTAATAGCACAATCAATAAAATATATAAAAATTAAAAGAAAAGAAGGTATGGTCCTCACTCTTCCCCTCCCCCACCACCACCATATCACTTGGGAAGCCACCATATTTTGCCATATATAATACACACTTTTTGCCCAAAATTTTGAGGGAAAAATAAGAATGGACATTATATGTGGGTAGTACTAATTCCATATCTATATTAATGGTTTTAATTATTTTATTTATGCTTATGCATTACAAGTATAACTCTAGAAAGCGATGATGATATATATCCATATGAAAAACAATACCCTGGAATACAATAATCAGTTTTGTTTCTAAATATAAATAAATATATAATTGAATTAAAAATTAAAACAAAAGATTTTTTTTCCTGAAAGTTTGGGCCAAAACCACAGGTATGCAAAATACATGGCAAAATACCGTAATCTTCACCTAGCCTTTTACTGGGTAAGTAATTATCTACCAACCTCAGGAAAATTTAGAATTTTGTGTAGAACTGCTTAAGAGAATCAAACTAACAATGTTAATGTTTCTTTTGTTATATTGTACACATTTTGTATTTCAAGTACTTGAAAATGTTTAAAATAATCTGGCTTAGTGGGGTGCTTAAAAGATAAGCTTGGAGATTCTAATTTAAATCAGACGGTTGAATATAGACTGTTCTTTGAAGTTAAATTCTCACTGGGATTGTAAAACCATTTTTAAAAAGATCTTGAAATTTACTATCTTTATATGTTTGCTTATTATATTACCATAAAAATATGTGGGAGGTTGGAAAAAAAAAAAGAAAGCTGTGAAGTCAATAATCTGAGCTTCCACCCTAAGGAACTAAAAGAATAAAAGCAAAGTAAACTCAGAACAAACAGAGTAGGGGGATAGTAAAAACAAGAACAAAAGTGATATTTCAAACAGAAAAACAAAAAGGAAAATAAAAAGGTGAAAAGTACTGGAAGCAACCTAAGTACCCATCAGTAAATGAGTGGATCCAAAAACTATGGTACATTTACACAATGGAATACAACACAGCAGAAAGAAAGGAGCTCCTACCCTTTGCGACAGCATGGATGGAACTGGAGAGTATTATGCTAAGTGAAATAAGCCAGGTGGTGAAAGACATACACTATATGATCTCAACTATTAGTGGAACCTAATCAACAAAACAAACAAGCAAAGAAAATATAACCAGAGACATTGAAATAAAGAACAAACTGACAGTAACCAGAGGGGAGGTAGGAGGGGGGTAATGGGGGAAAGAAGGAGAAGGGTTATCAAGGAACATGTATAAAGGACGCATGGACAAAGCCAAAGCAGGAAGGATTGAGGGTGAGAGGTGGGAGTGGGTGAGGTGGGGGAAAGTAGTGGTGGGAAAATGAAGACAATTGTACAAAAATTTAAAAAATGCAGAGAAAAAGAAAAGGAAAAGAAAGAAGAGAAAAAGGTACAATCTGAGACCAAAGAAAGAGACCTTCTGCATCCTGAAGTTATGGGTGTCAGTCATAGTTTTACCTGATTTCATTTATTTCATTACATAACATATAAAAGGCACTATACAGAAATAAAACTATGTTAAATTAAAATCAATTTTAAAACAAACAAAAAAAATAGGCCCCTCAAAATCAACAAACCTCTTGCCAGATAAGAAAAAAAAAGACAAAAGTTACAAATACCAGGAATCTAACAGGCAACATCAGTACAGATTTTATAGATATTTAAAGGATAAAAAAGATATATCACACACAACTTTATGCCCGCATACTAGACAAAAGATGGAATGGACTAATTCCTTGATAACAGATAGAAAGCCTCAGTTCTACACCCTCTTACCAATAAGGGAGGCAGAGAGGTGCCGGACTAAAGAAAGCATAGGGACATGGAATAAACTAACCACATGTTCTTGGGATATTTTCAACACTGCCTGAGGAACGGTACATCTTTTGATATAAAATGTCCAAGTGTCTTGAGTTTCCCTCTGTAATCTGAGGCTACAGCAAAACCAGCATGTCTTGCCAAGATTTATGAGGCAGGTATTTGCCATCCAAGAGTTTGACTAAATCCTAAACTTAACAGAGCAGTTTCTATTCTCTTAGATCTAAATTCTAACTGGATGAACTTCAGTAAAAGTCAAACATTATGGTAATAGGGGTTGCATGTGGTGATGCCATATCTGTGAAAATGCCTCCAGATGCACTCAACACAGGCTACATTCTTAAGGAATTAATAATGAGCAGATGCCTCAATGGAATTAATAGCCTTCCATTCCTAATCCCAGCTTGATACTGAGGTCCACAGGCTCACTAAATAAAGGCTAATTGCAACCTTCCCCTAGTCCATGCTCTTTGGTTCTGTCTGGACCCAAACAGGGGACTGAAACTTCCCCCAAGGCCTACCCTCATGCTCTGAAACCCATCTGTCAACATC